TGCTACATTTTATTGGTCCATTATTACATTATAAGTGAGCCACACTTGTCAAAACAGTGAAAAATTACATATCCTGCAGTTTTCCTGGTTTTATTTCTTGTTCCCACTACAGCACTTCTGAGATCACAAGTCAGTAAATCATGAATCTCTCAGTCAGGGGGAATTAATGAGGTTTTACTGAACATATAATTCTCACTGTCAGTGCTCAATGCACCATTTCCCTTAAGCTTCTCCTCTGCCAGAATTTGTCATTTTGGGCAAACACAGCCAATCTTTTGCTAATCTCTTCCATCTTGCAGCTGGGCAGCAGCAGCTATTTGGAATTCTTAAGGAGTGAGGGCAGATCCTAACCAAGAATTCCAGTCCAGCCCATTGGTGGGGGATAAGGAGAGGGGGGGAGAGTTTATACAACTCATTGGCCCTGCCCAAATTTAATAATGAAAGGAAACATTTCCAGGGACGTGTAAAATGAAATTATTTATACATTAAAAAACGTGGAATTCAATTTTTTTTTCCCTCTAACACACTGTATGGGATGAACACACTGATAGGGAGTGTATTCCTGCTTTAGATAGGGAGTGTATTCCTGCTTTTCCAGCTGGTTTGGAGCAGCCAAGTGTTGTGGGTTTTAATCTTCTCTGGATGTTTTGTGGATCAGAGCTCCCAGTTTAACTCTGTCCTTCCTTGCAGTCACAGAAGGGGAAGCTGCTGCCCAGCCCGGTGGACTTCACAATCACTCCTGAAACTCTGCAAAATGTTAAAGAGGTAAAAGGATTTGCTGTTCTTTTATTTTAAGTGTAACGTTTGTGTGATTCTGAGTGAGACCAGGGGAATGATTAAATGCTGCCCTGCAGACAATCAGCTCTTTTTACCCCCTTCTTTCTCACTTTTCTAAGCAATAAAGTGATTCTGCCTCATCTTTCACGTCATGGTGACCAATTCGAGGTGGAATTTTGTTCAGTAATCACTGGATATTTGTATCCTTTTCCTGAATGAAAGGAGGCAGTGGAGCCAAGGAAAGCATTTTATACCATGGATAGCCAAAAGCCCTTAAAAATCTGTATTTTGGTCCTTGGTTGTGCCATTTTTTTACATCCTTGCGTGGCTTTGGGAAGCCTGAAGGAGGGCAGGATTAGGTAGGATATTGGGAAGAAATTCTTGACTGTGAGGGTGGGGAGGGGCTGGGATAGAATTCCCAGAGAAGCTGTGGCTGCCCCTGGATCCCTGGAAGTGCCCAAGGCCAGGTTGGACGGGGCTTGGAACAACCTGGAATAGTGGAAGGTGTCCCTGCCCATGGCAGGGGGTGGCACTGGATGGGCTTTAAGGTCTCTCCCAACCCAAACCATTCTGGGATTCTGTTCCTGCCAGTCTCCCTCCTTCACCACGAGGTTCCAACTCCTGGATGAATTGTAATGGCCAAGTGCTGTCAGTTCATCCCAGGAAAAGTCCATCCCTTGGGCGGATGGAATGGGCAGGAAGGATGTATGGCAAGGGAGAGGATTGTGGAGATGCCCTAATGCAGATGGGTAAGGATACAGATTGAAAAAGTTATTGAAGCTCATTTCTGAACTCCTGAGTTCTTAACCTTGGAACTTTGGTCCATTTCCTTCACATTTGGATAATTCTCTGTAGGGTGGGTTTTTTCCTTAGTCTGCTCTTCCAGCGGTGTCTCTTCCTTAAGAGTTGGCCTGGGTGATGCTCGTGGGTCCCTTCCAGCTCACAATATCCTTGTGATTCCATCTTTTCCAGAGAGCCTCCCTCCCCAAATTCCTGATCAGAGGGCACCTCAACTCCACCAACTGTGTGATCACCCAGCCCCTGACGGGGGAGCTGGTGGTGGAAAGCGCCGAGGCCGCCGTGAAGAGCATCGAGCTGCAGCTGGTCAGAGTGGAGACCTGTGGTGAGTGTCCCTGTCCATGGAAAACGTGGGGAACAGCCCACAGGAATTACCTGTGCTTGTTCACCTTCAATTTGGAATATTGTGACAAGCCAGAGAGCATTAAAAAGACCTTCAAAACCACGGTTTGCCCTTCGGGTGGAATTTAATTAATTCCAGTTCATTTAAGTAGCTCCGTGATCCTTACCTTGCAGCTCAAAAGTTTTTCCCCCAATCCCAGTGTCTCTTTGCTGCTTTCTCTCACCTCTTCCCCTTTCCCTGCTCTCCCTGTGCCTCTCTGCTCCTTGCCCAGGCTGTGCTGAAGGTTATGCCCGGGATGCCACGGAGATCCAGAACATCCAGATCGCCGACGGCGACGTCTGCAGGGGCCTCCCCATCCCCATCTACATGGTGTTCCCCAGGCTCTTCACCTGCCCCACCCTGGAAACAACCAACTTCAAAGTTGGTGAGTCTGTGGCACTTGATGCTCTGGAGGCATTTTTTTTTTTTTTTTCCATCAGGGATGAGTTTCTAGTTTTCCTTCAGCTTCCGGCAGGTAACGGGATAAATCCGGTGCTGCAGGAAGGACCAGGGACATCCTGGTCCTGGAAACACATCCCGGTGTTTCCCTGGAGAGGCTTCCTGAAGAGGATGTCACAGATGGAGAAAATACAGCCCAAACATTTCCAATAGAAACCCCTGAGCAACCATTAAACTACTTCTGACTAACAGAATTCCATGATAAATGGACAGGAGAAACAGTGGAATGCAGGTCATTTTTTTTCCCTGCTAAGAGTTGCACGTAATTAAACACTTGAATAATAATCCAAGAATAAAATTCCCTCTTTTCCTCAGCAGTGAGAACCCCCTCTTTCCATTTCCTCTCTGTTTTGTTTCCCACTCTCCTCCTGGAAGCCCTGGAAGCAGGAAGGTTGGTCTGGGTGTGACTTTGCTTGTCTTGACCTACACCACCTGCTCCTCCCCTGCTGATTGTGGCCAAAATCCACCATTTTTCTTAAGAAAATGAGGATTTTTTCCTCACTTGCTCAAACAATTACTGCAAGAATCACTTGGCTAGTTTGTATTTCTTCCCTCCACCCTGTTGGAATCTTGGTACAGAATCTGTGTGCAGTGATTTTCCCCAAAATAATATTCTTACTTATTTTTTTGCCATTTTTAGCCCTTGAATAGCAATTTAAATTGTTAGTGTGGGAGCTACTTTTATTTATAAGAAGTATCTTAATATAGTTACAAAGACTCTAAAAAAAGGGCAGTTATTTTCAGTTTATTTTGATTTCTGCTTCCCTTCATTTATTAGCTCTGCCTGGCTTTGTCTTGTCTCCATTTGGGATTGATTGTTGATCTGATATTGGATTTTGGCTTTGAATGACACCATATAGTATCTAAAGAGTAGATTTTCTTCTGGAATTTTTATTCCATACTTGGCAGATTTGTTGTATTCCAGTTTCATTTCCCGAGGCTGTTAAATGCTGGCAACAGGGCAGGAATCTCCCTTGGGATTCTCCCACTTCCCTGCTTCTAAACACCATGTTTAGGTGTCTTTCCCAAAACATTTTGCTCCTTGACGTGTGAACTCTGTTGTCCAAAAGACTTTTGTGTCACAGTTTTATCACTGACAACTGAATCCAGAGGAATCCCAAAGATTAGAATGAGGCAGGAATTCTCTAGGAAGGGTCCAAGGTGTGGGATCAGGTTCTGCCTGGGGGGCAGTGCCGTGTGTGAGAGCAGGAGCTCCTTCCTGCCCTTTATCCTGCTGGCAGGATCCAGTTTTCCATGGAATTCTCCCTTTTCCCCTTCTCCCAGAGTTTGAGGTGAACATCGTGGTCCTCCTGCACGACGACCATCTCATCACTGAGAACTTCCCACTGAAGCTCTGCAGGATGTAAAGACCCAGGGAAGGACTTCCTGGAAAAGGCCCAAATTCTTCAGAGGAGAAGTGAAACTTTATCCATGCCTGATTCCAGCTGGAGCCACCTCACTCCCTGTGGGTCCTTTTGTGCTCTCAGTTCTCTGGTCATCTTTCCCAGAGAGCCCACCTGGACTTCCCAATCCAGGCAGCCTTGGCAGGGATCCTTCTGCCTTCAACAACCACGTTATCCCCACTTTTCCTCAGGCAAATCCTGAAGGAATGGCTTTGCAGCTTTCTACAACTGGTGTGTAAGTACGTAGGAAGTTTCTCTCCTTATTTAATTCCATCATATTTGTTCCAAAACCCTTTGAAGACCCCTTAAACCTGTTGAATCCTGTTATATCCGTACTGGGAGGGCATGGGAATTGTGATATAATGATAAATAGGGTCTTTGAAGGGATAAAAAATGGTGCTACAACACTGGGAGGTGCTGCTGTGGGATCAGTGTGAAAGAAGTGAAGTAACACCCAGGAAATTTTGGTCAAATTGGGAACAGGAGTCTGTGTTGGAGGAATAAATTCACCTGTTTGTAACTGTGCAGCTTAAAGGAACTTTATAGGCAAGAAAGAACCTTCCCCACACAAACAGGTTGTGGATTTTGGGGTTGTTTTAATGGAACAGCCACGAGTTGATTTTAATTGTGAATTTTTCCCTGAATCTTCCCTGTGGGATAGAGGCAGGCTCAGGTATAAAGTATTATGGGAATTGGAAGTGTAAAAGTGAGCTCCTGAAAAGGCAGAATTAAGAAAAGTGCCCCAAAGTCATTTCCTTTGGCTTTTTCCAGCAGCTTTGCCAAGCAGGACAGTGTCATTCCAGGGGTGGCCCTGGTGTTTTAGGGAGTAACAGCTGGAATTTTTATTTCAGTCGCTTATGGGGGGGGGAAAAAGTGCTATTTAATAAAACTTCACACTTTTCCCTAAGACCAGGGGATGGTACAGGGTGATTTTTGGGAAGTGGAAGCCACTCTTTGTAGTCCCCAGAGCAGCTCTTCCAACTCCTGTTGTCCCAAGGGATGTGGAAAGAGCAGCCCCAGCACCTGGATTAGGGAGGCTGCAACCCCCCAAAAATACTGGAAGGTGAAAAGGAGGCAAGTGCTGGAATTCCTCAGGCTCCAAGGTGCTTCAGCTCCATGGAATTATTTACTCACCCATAACTCAGACTTAGCAGAAATATTACACACACCCCAACCCTGCATGAGCTGCAGCAGTAATTTTAATTTCTTATTCAAGTGCCAATTCATACACTGATTAATCACAGAGTAGTTTAAAACTTCAGCTGGAGGATATTTATCACTGGGGGGAACAAGTGATCCCTAGAATTAGCTAATGAGCTCATAATCCAGTGAATGCTGCCTGGATTCAGACAACAGCCACAGTTGATTTTCAGTTTGAGATTTTCAGTCTCTACTCCTCATTTTTTGGCTCTTGGAGGCAAATGTGACAGTGCTGAAGGTGCTCTGGCAAGCTCAGACTCTGAAGGCAGTGGGAAAACCATTCTTGGAGCTGTTTAAATTCTGCCCCTCACTGGTGACCAGTTCCTGCACAAAATACAGATGTTGCTTCAGCCAAAATAAAAATCCTGTCATTCCCATTTGAACAGATCAGCTCTTCAACAGTGGGGGGGAATTCAAACCCTATTTTGAGGGTTTGAATTAAAGAATCCATTAAAGAATGGATCCACTGTACTCCAGCTCCATTCACATGAACACTTTAAAATTCTTGCTTCAATAAATTACTAAAAGTCAGTATTTAAACAGTTTGAATTTATGCAGAGGGAGGAGGTGCAGGGATGAACTGCACTCCAAAGGGCCTGACTGGAATCCTGCAGTTCAACTGGAATTGTTGATGCCAGAGGAAGGGAATATCTTGGCTCTTCCAGTTCTGCATTTGGGTCTCCTGCTTGTTTGATATTGGAATTTAAGTTTCAGTGTGGAATAAACCTGAGGGAAAGCTCCCTCTTCACGGGAATTATGCTCTGGCCTTTCAGATAAAATAGATTCGCTACTTTTCAATTAAATAAAAAAAAATAAAAATCAAACAAAGGCCAGTTTTGTGTGCTGCCAGCCCTGAACCACATCAGCTTCCCACGTTCAGGCAGCATCCAGGAAAAGTGCTGGATCTTGGAGTCTGGGCCTTAATGCCAAGTGTTAAATCCCAACTCAGCCTGAGCTCTGTCACCACTGCCAATAAAACCAGGGGTCTGGTGCTGTCCCTCAGCTCTGGGGTTACTCTGCAGCCACTTTGCATCTGATCATGATGATTATGATGATGATTATTACTATAAAGTGTTGAAATAAAGCCAGGACTAGGTGCACTTGTTCCATGCAGGAAGCTCAGGGAAGTCTTCAGGAAGGAGGGCGTGGACACGGCAGATGGGGCAGGTGCTGGAATGTTCCTTGAGCCACGTTCTGATGCACTGCAAGGGCAGGGAGAGAGGGAGGAGGCAAAGGCTGGGGTTAGAAAAATGTTCTCCAGTTCTAATCCATTTATTCTGCAAGAAGAAATCAGCAGTAAAGAAATAAGCCAAAGGGGGAAAGTCACCAACAGGAACACGGAGTTATTCTAACATAATCCTGACTTTTTTTACTCCCATGAAGTCCCACTATCAGGTGGCAAATGTAGGGATAGCCCAGTCCATAACTGCTGCAAACAATCCAGATTTAATCTCTGAAGGCTCACTTTAAATTCACTCTGATGAATTATCACTGTACTTTAAAAAAGCCCTAAAGCTTCCTGACACAGTAAAACCGGCTCTTAGGGCGAGTCTGGGGTACAAAGGCTGCAAAAAAGCAAATTGTGCCCAGTTGTTTAAGCACTGAGGGGTAAATGGAGAGTTCAGAAAACAAGACCAGAACTTACTTCTCTGTGAAAATGATGCCCACACTCCAGTTCACACGAGTCTCTGCTCAGCTCATCGTGACAGATCGTGCAGGGATCCTCGCCGGAGGCCTGCACATGGAATGCTCAGTTATTGGAAAGCCAGCAGCAATTAATCAGCAAATTCCACTAAGTCAATTAGTTTACTAACTTTAACCAGGTCTATTTAAGCTTTTGTACACAAAATAAACGAGCCAGTTATTTTTTTTCCCCAGCAATTCTCCTGATTGTTTCGTTTCTTGGACGGAGCACATGGCAACGACCTCACTGGAACAGAGGAGAACTTACTGCACTGTCCTGCTTTTTCCATTTAGCTTTAGGTATTGCTCCAACATTCCCCCAGGGCTGGAGGTTTGGGTTTTTATTTGAGGTGGTTTTAGGTGCAGGTCCTGCTCTGGAGGGACTGGGGGCATTTCCTTCTGCAGCCGCTTCCCGACTCCGTGTTCCGGTCGGGGCTGGTGGAGCAGAGACTCTCCCTGCTGAAGTTGGTGCCTGAACAAAGAAAGGAATTTGGAGTGAGTTTGTATTTAGAGCTGGATGGCAAAGGGCACTTTGTGTAGTTTGGGGCTGTGCTGCTCCGTTCCCTCTGCCAGAAGATTCCCAGGAAGAGGCAGCGGCTCCGCCCCCTCATACCTGGCTCTGCTGGTCCAGGATCAGCTCCGTCACTCGGTTCAGAACCTCATCTGAGCTCAGACCTGACAGGGTGTTCCCATTTCTTCTCTGGACCTCTCTTATAAAACCAGTGAAATAGGAGCTGCAGGGACAGGAAAAACAAGGATCAATGACTGGTAACACGACACTGGAGGCTCCATGTTTGATTCCCACCAGAAGAGCCTTAAAAACACCAACTTCTCCCACAAACTGGAGCAGATGCCTGTTCCAGGAACTCTCAGTAACCAGGATCTGCCTTTATTGTAAAAAAACCCTAAACAATAATCAGAATCACAGAGTGGTTGGGTTGGAAGGGATCATCCTTAAAGATAATCCCATTCCAACCCCCTGCCATGGGCAGGGACACCTTCCACTAGCCCAGGTTGCTCCAACCTGGCCTTGGACACTTCCAGGGATCCAGGGGCAGCCACAGCTTCTCTGGGAATTCTATCCCAGCCCCTCAGCACCCTCACAGGGAACAATTCCTTCCCAATATCCCATCTAACCCTACTATCTGTCAGTTTGAACCATTCCCCCTTGTCCTGTCACTCCAGGCCCTTGGAAACAGAACAAAACCAGTCCCTGTTGTACTTTATCCCTGGCTGTGCAGAACTTATCACACCCATTAAAACATTCCACTCATTCCAACCAATACCTGCTGTAGTTTGGGAATATGCTCTGGAGCTGTGCAATAATATTTCCCAGTGCTTTTGGAAGCTTTTTGTTGTTTGGAAGTGCAGGAGGCCTTGGTTGCAGAGCTGAGGCATCCTGGTGGTTCTGGGTTGGCTGAGTGGCACTTCCAGAAATCCCTGACGGGTGAGGTGACGGGAGTTTATTGGAATATGATCCCTCTGGAGGTTGGGGATGTGTTGTCACGGATCCACCACTTGCAGAAGAAGCCTCAGCAGTGGCATGTGCTGCCTTAGCTCCAGCCTGGGTTTGGAGGGATGGTTGTGTTGGACCTTGACCTTCAGGACTGGAAAATGCAGGAAGTGAACTGGGATGTGCAGATGCCAAGGAATAGGTGACAATGGCTGGATCACTGACCAAAGGTCTGGCTGGGATTGTCTAGGAAACAAAACACATTTCACAGGAAAAACAGTGACTAAACCAACTTTGAGTTGAACTCTGGAGCATTTGCAGCTTGAATTATGACACATTTTGTGGTGCCAAGGACCTGGAAGGTCTCAATTTATCTTAAGAACTCCTTAAGATCAGTGCAGTTGTTTGACCTCAGGACTATTTTCTTTCAGCTTTCTCTTCTAAAAGGTTATTCTGGTCTTACTGCAGAAAAAAAACAGATTCCAAAGGCAGAACAAGAGGCTCAAAAGTTGCTCTTTCCCAACCTGGAAATTGGTGGTGATTAAGTTATGCACATACTCTGTGACAATAAGTAGAAAGGAGATACCTAAAAATAAGTGAGGAAGGAAAAGTATGTAGGAAAAAAGGAGTGGAACAATTACTTATACAAGTCCAGAGAAAGTGTAGTAATAATCTCAAATTTACAGTATCAGAACAGAGCCTTGAATCTAAATTATACCTAGAACAAACAAGAGAAAAAAATCTAAATTATACCCAGAACAAACAAGAGAAAAAATCTAAATTATACCCAGAACAAACAAGAGAAAAACCCATGATTTTCTGCAGAGAGAAAATATATGTAAAATATAAAAAGGACCATCACAAGGTTAAGAAGAAACTGCCATGATTTGAGCAAAGCATTTGTGGAACTGTTGGCCCATGAGAAAATGTCTGGGAGCAGCATTTCCCTGGGCTGTGCTCATTCCAGAGGCACTTCCATAAGTGGTTGGACTCCAGACCTGGCTGGAAGTTGAGTTTGGTGTTTGTTATCACTCACATGTGTTGGTGTAACAATTTCCTCAGGAGGAATTTCTCCCTGGAAAGGGTGGTCAGGCCTTGGCAGGGGCTGCCCAGGGAGGTTTGGAGTCTCCAGCCCTGGAGGTG